GGAAAAAAAAATATCATTATTTTTAAATTAATTAAAAATGCCAACTCATAAAAAAATATGTTTTGTTTTTCCATGTCATTGATTAAGAAAAAAAAAAAGAATTGATTTGCTGGCATTTTAACGTGCCACCTGTCATTTAACTGACGGAATGACCATTTTGGTACCAAAAATGAAAGTCTGAGGATAATTTTGGTACTTTTTAAAGGTAAGGGACAATTTTGGTGCCAAAGTCAAAAGTTGAGGGACCAAAATGGTACTTAAACCAAATATAAATATATTTTCACTCCCTTCTCTTAAACGTAACCCTAACCCTCTCCCTTTCAATAAAATTTTCTTTCCCTCCTTGCTCAGATCCAGATCTGCCACCTGCCTTCCATAGATAAAAAAAAATTGGTTAAACCCCTATTTTGGTCCCTGAACTATTGTATGAATCCTTGATTTGGTCCCTAAACTAAAGAAATTCCTAATTTGGTCCTTGAACTATTGTACGAATCCCTGAGTTGGTCCCTAAACTATTGTACGGCTCCCCGAGTTAGTCCCTAAACTATTATACGGATCCCCAATTTGGTCCCTACTGTTTACCAATTTAGCCCCAATTTGGTCCTTTCGTTAAATAATAGCTTAAGGACCAAATTGGGGCGAAATTGTAAATAGTAAGGACTAAATTAGGGGTCCGTACAATAGTTCAAAGGCCAACTTAGGCCAAATTATAAACAGTGGGGACCAAATCGGAGGTCCGTACAATAGTTTAGGGACCAAATCAGGAATTTCTTTAGTTCAAGGACCAAATCAGGGGTCCGTACAATAGTTGAAGGACCAAAATGGGGATTTAACCAAAAAAATTTCATCTCCGCCAAATCCAATCTTTAATCTTCCTTTTTTTTTTTTTCTTGTTCTTTAGCGACTTTTCACTTTCAGTTCTATGCTTCTATTTCTTCTCCAATTCTCGTTCTTCTCTTTTATTAATCTCACAAGCTCTATAGCTCACTCTTTCTCTATATTTCTCTTTTTAATCTCCATCTTTCTACAAGTTTTATAACTTGAAAGACCAATCTCTTTCATCCCAAAAAGGTGGAAGATGTAACCATAGGATCTTGCCGGATCAATAACGTCTCATCGTTGCCGGCAAGCAACTCAAAGATGGTCAGACCTTATCCGAATGCAATATCCAAAACGGTCAAAATCTTGTCTTTTGATTTCTACAGTTGTGCTTAGAAAAAAAAAATTTTTTTATGGAAAAGGCTGGATTAGAATTTAAAATGGGATTTCTTTACTTTTGCATTGGTGTTAACAACCTTGAGATTGCAGAAATTGAGATATGCTTGAATGACTTTTGATTCTTTTTTGGATTTGGCACTTGGGAAATGTGATGGCTTTGGATATTTATTTGGATAAAAAAAATTGAAGAAAATGGATCATCATACATTGTAGGAAATTTGGGCCACAAAAACGAAAGGCCCAAACCCAAGAAAGTTTAAGGTTAGAATTGGTAAAAAAATCGAGACCGATACCAACCGAACCGATTAATTCGGTTACAAAATTGAATAATCGAAATATTATCGATTCGGTTATTAATTATTATTTTACAAAATAATCAATCGATAAAAATCATCAATTTAAATTCGATTTCAACTAAACCGAACCGATCCCACCCTACAATTAACTTATGGCTTTGATCTTTCAAGTGACGTCAACAGTGACTAGCTCCTTTTAATGCCAATTAGATTTTTTTTCTTTGATCTTTCAAGTCACGTCAACAGTGACTAGCTCCTTTTAATGCCA